GAGACACCTGGTTTTCCTTCCTCAGTGGGAAGCCAGGGGCAACTAGGTGGCACAGCGAATAGAGCACTGGGCTTGGAATAAGAAAGACTCATCTTCATGAATTCAAATCTGACCGTACACACTTACTGTGTGACCCTGGGAAAGTCACCTAACCCCATTTGCCTCAGTGTTCTCATCTGTAAAATGAGCTGGAGAAGGAAATGGCAAATCATTCCAGTATCTTTGCCAAGAAAACCCCAAATAGGGTCACAAAGATTTGGGCACAACTGAAATGACTGAAAACAAAAACTATTATTACTATTAAAATGGCACCCAGAGTGAAGGAGATGGTGGTCCCCATCATACTCTGCATAGGTCAGACCAGACCTGGAGTATTATGTTCATCATAAGATTTATGAGCTGAAAGAGAATGTAGTGTTCAAGGTCACATTTTAGGAAGGTTGAGAGACAGACTTGTTGGTGCAATAGATACTGAACATAAATCAGTCAGAAAGATCAGGGTTCAAGCGCTACCTCTGAAATATGATGATTACAGGACCCTGGGACCCCAGAGAATTCTCTTAGACCACAAGTAGTACAGAAGATATTCACATGCTTCCTTGCAGGGAGCTCCTTCCCAATGAAATCACAGATCCAGTTCCTTAAAACTGACAAATGGGAGAGTGTCCCTAAAAGGGCCACTGGAATAGAAAATGAACTGGAAAAGTCACGTGAGATTCAGTTAAATGAACTGGTGATCAGAATAATAATGACAACTCACTCTAATTTAGTACATTGAGGTTTACAAAGCACTTTGCTCATAACAATCTTGTGAGCAAGAAGAACCTTAGGGAAGTTAAATAATTTGCCCAAAGTCTTACTAAGTACAACTATGTCTTCTGACACAAAGTCCAATGCACTTTCTACCATACCACACTACCTAACGAAAGATTTAGGGGGGACATTACTAGTGTCTTCAAATATTTGAAAGGGCCATGGTGTAGACATGTAATTAGACTTGTTTTACTTTGTTCCAGAGGGTAAAACTAGAACTCACAAAGACAGATTTCAGCTCAGCATAAGGAAACATTGTCTGATAATTTTTGTTGTGGTTCAATCATTTTTAGTCACATCTGACTCATCAGGATCCCAGTTGGGGTTTTCTTGGCAAAGATACTGGAGTGGTTTGCTATTTCCTTCTCCAGCTCATCTTAGAGATGAGGAAACTAAGGTAAATAGGGTTAAGTGACTTGCCCAGGGTCATACAGCTAGTAAGTGTCTGAAGCTGGATTTGAACCCAGGTCTTCCTGACTTTAGGCCCACTGAGCCACCTAGCTGCCTTATTCCCATTTTATAGATGAGCAAATTAAGACTGAAAGGTTAAGTGACTTGTCCACAGTCATACAATTAGTAAGTGTCTGGGACAGAATTCTAAGTCAGGTCCAGCCTAAGCATCTTCTATTCTGTTCTATAATCCTGGATATTAAGCCTTTTGAGTAACAGTCTATTTAGGTCTGTGTGATTCCCTCCGCATTACTAACTCTAGGGCTTAGCTAACGGGAGTGTCCCTGCTGAGCCCTCTACGGGAAGTTATGAGGTAGTATAATTCACAAGCAACTTTGCGATTGTAGAGCTCATCTTTTGCTCCTTTCATTGTCCCATTCATATCTTGAAAGGGGGCAGGGCTAGCAACTGCTATCCAGCTCCTCTTCCTATATACTTCCCTCTTCCACTATAATGGCACAAGGACACATAAGCCAATTAGGTCTCAGGGTCACATAGCCCCATACACTAAGTTAAGGTTTACAAAGGGCTCTCCTGCCCATAATCACCAAGGAGTGTAGAGATTATTGTTGCTCATTTTAGCGATGAAGAAATTGAGGCTCAGAGAGTTTAACATGCCCAGGATAACACAGTAATTGTTAAAGCCAAGACTCAAACTCAAGTCTTCTGGCTCTACAATCAAAGCTCTTTTCACTGTGTCTTACTGCCTCAATCCACAGTTCCAGCTGGATACACAAAACAAACTCAACACACCTTTAAAAAAAACCAAAACCATATTTGTGATTTCATCCATATGGAGAACTTTCAATGAGGATACTTCCTCTACCAATGTGCCTGGTCTACAACATAGTCTTAAAGAATTGTATGGGACACTGAGAAGTTAAGTGACTTGCCCAGGGTCACACAGTCAGTATATGCCAATGATGGGACTTGAATCAGGTCTTGCCGACTCTCAGACCTATCCTTTTACCATAACATCACAGGTAGAGGACATAATGAAGTGTACAAACATAAGCAAGATACGATCTTGACAACCAAAATTATAGGAGGCTGCCCTCAGGGGAAAAAAAAAAGAGAAGTAACAGAAAAGGATATGTGTTGAAAGAGAGTTAAAATATTACCTGTGATAGGAAAAAATGGTCACAGGAAAAGGTATCACAGAGTGAGCACTGAATGAAACGATACACTCACTTGACTACCACAAGGTTAGTCCTCTATGGAATAAACGAACACAGCAAAGTGCATGAATCAGCATTTGGACGCTTCAGGGATATACACATGCTTCAAGGAAAATCTATTGATTATATAAGGTAGAAAACAGGGTTTTGCTGAATAATGATGATGATTGATGGTGATGGTAGCTGGCATTTATATAGCACTTCGTGGTTCGCAAAGTGCCTTACATATTCAAGAAAGAAACGTTTGGCTTGAAACCTTTAAAACTGTCCCCTAGAAAAACTAACAAGGGAGGAGATAGAGTTAGGAGGTGAGAAGGATATTGACCAAATGCAAAACATTTCCTTCCCAGCTGGCTAAGCTGAAGATGAGGTTACTGGGCAGTGCTAGCTCTGCAATAACAGCTTCTGGGTTGGAAGTCTGGATTTCATTCCCTGAAAGCTGGAGCTGCTCCCTAGCTCAAATGCTAAGTCATGGAGCAGGGGAGGGTGGTGCCAAGCCTAGAGTTAAGGTAAGGGAGAAAAGAGATGTCATGGCCAAACGATGAACCTGTGTTGTAAAAATATCAGGGAGTTAGGACCAGGACACAATTTGGGTAAATTAAATTAACATTCACTGAATTGGATATCAGTGGACGACAATGCCAGGGTTCCCAGAAGTTATACTACATCTCCTCCTAGAAGTCTTTCAAGATGGACAACATACAGGGCAGACAACCCTTCAAGTGGCACCTTGAATGGAGTCGAAACTCCTTCCTTCCTGTTTCCTCTCTGCCCCCTCTCCCCAGGGAATCTGTGTACTCAGCCGTGTTCTCCAGCCTTCAGACCATGTACTGCTGACATGAATATGATGCTTATTACTTCAAGGAATTAATGTTTCATTGTTTTTTTTAATACTATAAACCAGTTATTCCCACTGGTTTTTGGAGTTGAATATTAGTAAGATCTGTATAAGTAAATACAGTAAGATCTTCCCTTCCCTTTCCCCTACCCCAAATGAGTGCTCTAAAATGCATATTGTAGAGCCCCAATCTACTCAAGATGCATTCGTATCCACGAAAATGGAGAATACCAGAACTGGAAGGGATCTTAGGAGTTATTTAGTCCAACCTCAAACTAAGGAAGAAACTTCTCTATAATGTCTATCCTCAACAAGTGACCCTCCATTCTTTACCTGAAGACTTTCAGCAACGAATCAATGGAGCTAAAATCAAGAAGGTCTGAGTTTAAATCTGGCCTCATTCACATATCAGCTGTGTGACCCTGGGCAAGTCACTTAAGCTATGTCTGCCTCAGTTTCCTCATCTGGAAAATGGGGATGATAATAATAGCACCTTCCTTCCAAGACTGTTGTAAGGATTACATGAAATAGTAAAGCCCTTTGCTTGCCTTGCAGTGCTATGTAAATGCTAGCTTTCATTATCCCCCTAAGACATCTTATTTCAGTTTGGTGGACAGCTCCGACTGTTAAAAAGGTCTGGCGCTGAAATTTGCCCTCTTTTATTTCTGCCCATTGCTTCTAGCCATACCCTCTAGGGTCAGGAGACAAGTTTAAGTCCTCTTCCACAGGACATTCAAAGATCTGGGTGGTATGTTTTCCTTTCCTCACCACCAATTTTTCTCTGCTCCAGGCTAAATTCTCAGTTCCTTCAGCCAGTTTTCCTATGGTAAGGCTGCCAACCCCCCCCCATCAACCTGGTTGTCTTCTACATGTGCTCCAATTGGTCACAATGCCACATTCTACTACAAAACCTGCTGTAACACCCAGTGTATAATACAGACATTGATTCTGTCTCCACATTCCAGAAGCATAAAGGATTTCCAGTATATTAAAAAAAAAACACAACATTCCTGAGAATGGTATCACATTCCTCAAGGGACACACAACAAAGCCAGGGACAAGAAGGACTTCTGTAAATCCTGGGAACAGGAGGCAGGCCTCAATGATTCTCTTACTAATACCAACAATAATTATAAAACACATTTACATAGTCCTTAAGTATTTTATATATGTGCATGTGTGTGTGTGTGTATAACATATATACATATATGTTACATCATTTGCTCTTCACAACTTAGCCCTGTTGGGCTACTGAGTGCAAGCATTACCCCGCCCCCGTTTTAAAGAAGAGGAAACTGAGGCTCAGAGAGGTGAACTGACTTGACTAAGGCCACACAGCAGGCAGGTGCTCACACTGGACTCAAGCCCAGCTCTTCTGGCTTCTAGTCCAGTGCTCTTTTCACTACACCAGAGTACTACCACATTTGTCTACCTGCTAGGACAAGTGGGATGATCAAAAGAGATAATATATCTGTAAGTCATCTCTCTTCTTGCATATCCCCCTGAAAATAGTCTTACTCTTCTTCTCTGAACCTCTAGGGACTAGTATAATTCTGGACACAAAATGCTGAATACATGTCTATTAGTTAGTGAGTGAATGAACACAACAAGGTAAATAGCGGGTTACCCCATCAATTTGGCCTACCTGCAGGCTGTGTGGTCTCCTCCACCTCCTCCATAGCTATACCTTCCCTACCTGCTCCCTTCAAGAATTCACTTACCTATGGTGGACACCACAGTGCCTACAAAATAGAAAGCACCAGTAAAGTCCCACCGGGGCCGGCTGTCACCGATTCGGATTCCAGCAGCTGTGGCCTCCTCATAATCCCGGAGAAAACCTTGAAGCTCATCAAGGCTCAGATTGTGAGTCAGGCTAAAGTTTAGTAACTTCTCCCGCCACTGCTCCTTTGCCCTGCACTCTTGAGCTCTCTCAATTGCTGAGAAGACAGCTGCCCCACACAACATGTATAGGACAATCAAGACAGCCAGTAGCAAGAATCTGGCATTGTCTTGGTTGAGGTGCCCAGCACTCCAGCAGCAGCAGCAGCCCTGACATGCCATGGCTGGCAAGGTCCCTAAGGAAATTTTGCCCAGTTTGGTCCTCTCCAACCCACTGTGGTGGCAGGAAGGGAGTGGGGAGGAAGATAACTGTGACAGAAAAGGTGGGCAGCTCAATGATGAAAAAGCATTTGTTTTTATATTGTGAGAGTACGGTAGGATGCCTTACACTGATGTCGGTCAGAACTGGCGCTGCCCATGATAGTCACTTCCCAAGAAATGTTTGTTTGTTTTTCTCTTCAGACCAGTGCCATGCTAAAGCCTTATCTGGACAGTTTTAGGGTGCCTTTGTACCTTAGGAAGAAAGTCAGAGTCTCCTCCAGGGTTCTTCTTTCCCCACCAGATGTCTTCCAAAGAGCAACGTGTTGCAGTTCTTGGCTATTGCCTCTTCCCCAAGCCAGTTTGTTCCTTGCTGCCCAGTTTCAGATCCTCCTTCTCTCTCCTCCCCAGTTCCAGCACTCTTAATATTTTTGGCTCTTAGTGACAAGGAGTAGGGAGGAGGTTCTTGTTTCCGCGTGGCTAAAGGAAAACCTCAACCCTCTTGAATCTCCCAAAGTCATATCCTCTACAGGCTTAAGTTTAGGCTCTTTCTTTCTTTCCAGACTTGAAATTCCTACCCAGCAGTATCTTCTGTGTAAATGTTTGGACTGGGCTCTAAAGTCCTTTCCAGATCTAAGCTCTTATGAACCTTGGTTCTGATGTCCCTTGCACAGAATCCTACACTGGGATTCACCAATTCTTTCAGCACCACAGAATCTCAGCTGATTTTTTTCTTGCTCAAATCTCAGATTCTTCCATTTTTGGAGTCTCTTGTTCAGTAGAAATACTCCAGTATTTCCAGTATCTAGAGCTACCCAATCTTTCTTCCATGGAACACAAACTTTCGAAGGTCTGCTGCTGAGGTCCCCAAAGGTAGAGAGCAGGGGAGAAAAAAAAATAAATCCGAGTTTAGTGCTTGGTGATCCGCCACTGGGAGAAAAAAAAAAAGCAGCAAAACTGGTAATTTAGAGGAGGTCTGGAACTAGAAAATATTTTCATCTCTCGAACCGCTGCGAGACATCACCAATACCCAGAAGTCAAATGAGCTGGCAGGGAGGTGTTGGGGGGAGGGAGGGAGAAGAGAAAAGAAAAAAGCAAAGAGGAGAGGAAGGGTGCTTATGAGAAAGTCTACAGGAGACAAGCTCATATACTGTGTTCTCCCCCATTCCAAGTACCCACTCAGAAGGTCGCGACCTCTCCTCTTACCTCCTCCCACTCCCCGGGAGCTCTCTAACGGGATTGGGAACACATCCCGAGGGACCGAATCACAGCTTAATCCCCGGGGGAAGGGAGATCCCTGAGGGAGAACCAGAGCGAATCCCGGACCCTCCTGTTTTATCGTGGGTTGCACTGGCTTTAAGTTTCTGCAGTATTGGTTTATCTCCTTTTTCCTCCCCCAAGGAGGAAGACTAGGGAAGGGTCTTCGACAGGGCCTGCCCCCTCCCACCCTCTCCATGAGAGTGCAGTGCCCCTGCTTCGTTCTCACCTACCCCGCTGCTTGGTGCTTTTCCCCGGAGCCTGGATTCACTCCAGGCTGCTGGAAGCAGCAGCTGAGCTGCGGATCTTCCTCCCCTCTGAGGCCGCCCCGTCGGGGACTTCCCCCCAGCCTGCTTCCACTCCCCACCTCCAGCGTCTTGCCAAGCACCCTCCTTGCTCAGTTACCGAGCAGCGGGTTCCACCTTCTCCCCTCCGCAACTCCGCCTCTGCCGGCGCGCACTGAAATGCAACAGGTGGAGACCCGCGGACTGCAAGTCCCCCTAGTCCCTCTGTAGGAGGAGGCTGCTGAGACCCCGCCCCGTCCAGCTGGTCGTCTCCCCCAGCTCACCTCCAACGCCTGTTCCCCACCTCTCCTCTCCAAATCTCTTGTCTCTAGACTGCACGAGTATGGAGGTGAGCTCCGCTGCAGAGAGAGCCCGTAGCTCAGCCCCGGACAACTGTGAGTCTGGGTAGGCACACGCAGCGGCAGTGTTTGCTAGGTTGGCAGAAGCGGGGGACCTGGCCAGCTCTTCCCTCAGATGGTGAAGGTAGTGGTGGGTGTGGTGGGATTAACCCATCTGGATATGACTCTACAAGGCCGGGAGAGGGCGCCCAATCCCCTACAGACCTGCCTGAATGTCTCCCCATTTCCCCTCCGCCTCACCCCCGTGGAAGAAACCTTAGAAATAAACTTAACGGATGAAGAAACTGAAGGCCAAAGACATGAAAATGACTCACTCAAAGTAGTAAAATTAGTTTAAGTGTCTTCATTTTAAGAGCCTAAAGGAAACTTGGTGGTACATTGGATAGAGCGCTGGACCTGAATTCAGGAAGACCTGCCTTAAAATATGACCTCAAACACTTAATAACTGTTTGCCCCTATGAAGGTCACTTAACCTCTGGCTGCCTCAGTTTCTGTACAACGGGGATAATAATAGAGCCTACCTATCTCCCAGGGTTGTTGTGAGAATCAAATGAAACAATACTGGCAAAGTGCTTAGGGCAGTACTTGGCCCACAATAAGTGCTATATAAATGTTAGTTATCATTGTCATCCTCCTCCTCCTCCTCATTATTGTTTTTGTTATTATTATTATTATAGCACTGGGCCTGGAATCAGGAAAACCTGAGTTCAAATTTTGCCTTAAACGCTTACATGCTGAGTGAACCTGTACCAGTCCCTTAAAAAAATTGGCTGCCTCAGTTTCCTTAATGGTAAAATAGGGATCATAATATTACCTACCTCACAGGCTTATTGTGAGGATCAAATGAGATAATATTTGTGAAGCCCTTACAAATGGCAGTCTACTCTTTCAATTAGAATACAGTTCCTCTAGTATATTGGAAGGGGCAGCGATTTAGGATGGTGAAAATCTAGGTTTGGCAATATAGTGAGCAGGAAATTTACTTGGCCCTGCAGGAGAAATCTATAGCTGGGGTGGAATTTTCTTACCTGGGAGTGGGAAGGCTCACTGTGTTTTACCCCTTCCTTGGTGACTCTCTGATCTGGCCCAGCAACTTCTAAAGACTTTTTTTGTGTGGGGGGGTGGAGGGAGGAAAGATAGGAGTGTTCAGAGTGTCATATAGACACGGACTTGGAGTCAGGAGACAAACATAATAGTGTCAGGTCTGCCCTCTGCAAGACTGCCTCTGCATACTCTGCTTATTGGCTCTCTATTCATAAATGAGGATAGGATTTGCATTACCACCTCATGGAGCTGTTGTGGTAAACACACATTTATTTCTAACATGCAACATATTCTATTTTTACCTTTGGTTCAATCTTTAAGTTTAAAATTGGGTGATAGTTAATTCAATGCAGTAAGTTTTTATTAAGCACCTACAATGTGCAAAGCAGTGTGCTCAGTGCTGGGCATATAAAGGCAAAAATGCAAAATAATTCTTCTTTCAAGGGGCTTTTACACTACTTGTTGCTGTTCAGTTGTTTCAGTCCTGTTTAACTTTTTCTAACTCCATTTAAGGTTGTCTTGGCAAAGATACTAAAGTGGTTTGCCGTTTTCTTTCTCCAGGTCATTTTATAGATGAGGAATCTGAGGCAGACAGGGTTAAATGACTTGCCCAGCACCACACAGCTAGTAAGTGTCTGAGGCCACATTTGAACTCAGAAAGATGAATCTTCCTGACTCCAGTCCCAGCACTCTATCCACTGGTCCACCTAGCTGTCCCCCTCCCCCACTTTAACAATTCAGTATTATAACTGTTGTTCAGTTGTGTCCAACTCTTCATGACTCCATTTGAGGTTTTCTTGGCAAAGATACTGGAGTGGTTTACCATTTCCTTCTCTAGCTCATTTTACAGATGAGGAAACTCAGGCAAACAGGGTGAAGTGACTTGCCCAGGGTCAGTCACACAGCTAGTAAGAGTCTGAGGCTGGATTTGAACTCATCTTCCTGACTCCAGGCCCAGTGCTCTATCCACTGTGCCACCTAGTTTACACACACACACACACACACACACACACACACACACACACATCATGCAAGCACATTAGTAGATGCAGATAAATACAAAATACAAAATATTTTAGGAAAGGGATAACACAGCTAGCAATAGGAATGGCTTTATGTGGACACAACACCTGAGTTCAGCCTTGAAGCATTCTGAGGTGTGAAAAGGAGGAGGGAGTATATTTCGGACATAAAAGACAGTGAGTACAAAGGTGCATAAACAGGAAAATGGAATTCTGAGTTTGCCCATTTTAGCTGGAACACAGAAAGTAGAAAAGGGAGTAGTTTGAAATAACTCTGGAAAGAAAGCCTGGAACCAGATTTCAAAGGGTTTAAAAAATGCCAAGCTAAGCATTTTATCTTAGAGGCAATAGAGAGTAACTACAGGTTCTTGAGCAAAGAAATTACAGGGTCAGCCTTGTTATAGATTATTTTGGCAGCTATTTGGAGGATTAAATTGGGGAAAGGAAAAATAGGAACTGAGTTAGCCAGACAGATTTTTACAATAGTCCACATGAGCAGCAACAGGGTGCAGAACTATGAAGGTGACCAGAGAAATAGAGATAAGAAGACAGATGTAAGAGAACCAACAAGACTTAGCAACTGCTTAAATATAATATATGAAGGAGAGGAAAGGATGGAAGATGATTCTGAGATTGTGAACCTGGGTGACTGGAAAGATGACTGACCATAGATCTAAAGTAAGAAGTGATCTCAGAGGTCATCTAGTTCAAACTCCTCATTTTACATATGAGGAAAAATAGGTCTAGGAAAGTTAAAGCAACTTGCCCAAGGAAACATGAAATGTAAGATTTAAACTCAGGTCCTCCGACTCTGGTGCAGTGAATTGACCACTGGGCCTGGAGTCAGGAAGTCTTATCTTCATGAGTCTAAATCTGGCTTCAGAAACTTACTAGTTGTGTGACCCTAGCCAAGTCACTTAACCCTTTTTGCCTCAATTCCTCATCTGCAAAATGAGCAGGAGAAGGAGATGGTAAAACACTTCAGTATCTTTGCCAAGAAAACCCCTTGAACCCCTTGGTGTGCTATGGTCCACAGGGTCATGGAGAGCGGGATGTGACTAAATGACTGGATTAACAACCACCTTTGACTCTAGAGCTAGCAATCTTTCTACTGTACAGTGGTCCCCTTTACAGAAATACAGAAGTTTAGTGGATGAGCAGGTTGAGGGAGGAAGATAATGACTTCTTTTTTGGACATATTTAGAATGAGAAGAGAGACGTGTCATGGAACCCAAAAGAGAGATTATCCAAGAGGAAGAGTTGGTCAAAAGTATCAACGGTTACAAGGGACAAGTAAATGACAGTGGCTTCAGTTAAATGGTGGGTTTGGAAGCTAGATTACACAGGAATGAGAATAGAGTGGGCAGATGATAAAATGGAAGAATTAATAGCTAGGGCCCCTTGGAATAAAAAGAAAGTGTTTTAAGTTCAGCTACAGTAAGAATGGTGTCTTATATATGAGGAGGAGGAACAAAATCCATTCTAGTCTTGCATGATCATGGATCAAAGATTTAGAACTAGGAGGGACCCTAGAATCTACCAAGGCCAAGTCCCTCATTTTACAGATGAGGAAACTGAGGTTCATAAAGGTGAAGTCATCTGTCCAAGTGATTTTCCAGCTAATAAGTGGCTGATGTGGGTTTGAATCCATGTTTTTCTGACTGCAAGTCTAGTGCCCTATTTACTATACCATGTCAGCTCAGTCTACTCCCTAATATGATAATATGTCCCATACCTATTATATATAGAAAGTGTGAATGGATGAAATTGATAGAGAAGAGAATTTAAGATTAAGGTGACGGGATGTTATTCACTGACAAATGTTCAATAGAGGTTTTGAGACAAATTAAAAAAGAAAACATAGCATGTACTTTGTCTGAGGTACCACATCACACCTATCAGATTGGCTAACATAACAAAATAGGAAAATGATGAATGTTGGAGAAGATGTGAGAAAACTCAAACATTAATGCATTGTTGGTGGAGTTGTGAACTGATCCAACCATTCTGGAGAGCAATTTGGAACTATGCCCAAAGGGCTACAAAAATGTGCATACCCTTTGACCCAGCAACAGCACTTCTAGGGCTGTATCCCAAAGAGATCATAAAAATGGGAAAAGGACCCACATGTACAAAACTATTCATAGCAGCTCTTTCTGTGGTTGGCAAAGAATTAGAAAATCAAGGAGATAGCCCATCCACTGGGGAATGACTGAACAAGTTGTGCTATATGAATATAATGGAATACTATTGTGCTATAAGAAAAGATGAGCAAGTGGACTTCAGAAAAACCTAGAAAGACTTGTATGGATTAATGCTGAGTGAAGTGAGCAGAACCAAGAGAATACTGTATATAGTAACAGCCACATTGTGCAATGACCAACTTTGATAGACTTAACCCTTCTGAGCAATGCAAGGATCTAAGACATCTCCAAAGGTCTCATGATGGAAAATGCTATCCACATCCAGGGAAAGAACTATGGAGTTTGAATGCAGATCAAAACATATTATTTGCTCTTTTTTCCTTCTGTTTTGTTTTGTTTCTTCTTTCTTGTGGTTCCTCCTATTGGTTCTAATTCTTCTTTACAATATGACTAATGTGAAAATATGTTTAATAGGAATGTATATATAGAACCTATATCAGATTGCATGCTGTCTTGGAAAAGTTTACAGGGAGGGAGGGGGAGAAAATCTAAAATTCAAAAGCATACAGAAGTGGTTGTTAAAAACTAAAAATAAATGAATTATTTTAAAAATGTAACTATGAAATATTG